GTTATAAAGTGAGGGTCATTCTGCCTCAGAATGTTCGATATGGATGAGTTTTTGCAGATCTATAATCCTCGTGTTGGCTGGCAGAAAGTATATATGGTCACGGCATCGGATGCTAAGAAACTGGAGGCAGATATACGCGCCGTTGAAACTGCTGTGGGAAGGAGACCCGATGAATGGGCAGCGATTGCTGTTGTCGACACATCTATGGAGGGAGTCTTGTATGTCGCCAGCATTAGCTTCTTATCGTTCCCTGGATTTACCAAGCCAGTCATCCCTCGCGGTATGTTGCCTTCCCCAAAAAATCGTTTTCCTGTGTGGGGAGCTTATCGAACAAAGTACATTCTCCTTATTTCCGATTGCACCTGTTTTTCTCCACTTTATTCAGAAATATTTGGCAAATTTTCATGTACAATGTAACGGAAAAAGCTTAGAGTTTTTCAATGCCAAAAAAATTTATACTGGGATTTCCTTAGCCAGCACATCCCTTTTGTCGGGTTTTCACAGAAAAATTCGTATTTAAAGCTTACGAAAGCTTTAATAATTACTTCTACGTTTTTCAGAGACATACTTTTGTTGCTGTTGCTGGCAGCGATGTTATTTGGCGCAAGGTCTATTCCCTCAGTGAAAGTGAGTGGCTATTGCCTCCTTTCGAAGTGTTTTTAAAGATTTTTATTTCATGGTATCAGTTGTGGCTGCCCACTGGGAATTCATTTTGCAAAGTGAATTATTGCAGAATTCTTTTCAAGATATGCTTGGCGTGAAAATGAAGCTCAATATCATCAATCCCGGTGACAGGAATGCACTGAAAACGAAATTCAAGGATGTGGCCGGTTTGCATGAGGCGAAAGTAGAAATTAAGGAATTCGTAGATTACCTCAAACATCCTGAAAAATACACAGTAAGTTAGGTGGCGTTTTTTTTTTTGCGTAGCTTGCATTGTTATTCGAATCCCAATATCAGCACTGCATTTTTAAGGGTAAATCAGCTGTGGTTGAATAAGTTAAGCTTTTTACCGATGCAGCATGAAGTTTATTTTAATGCAAACTGGAGGCTGTTTCTGTTCGTGCCGACGTTTTTTTCCTCGGAAACAAACTTTGCAGTGAATTAATTTTGGGGTTTCAAGCATTATTGAATTGTAAAAATTGCATCCCATCAACATGCAGCCCTCTCCCATTTTTCTTCCGCTGCTGCTACCGTACGTACAGTTCTTCCCTACCCCTCCCCCGGCCCTCATTTTATGCAATGTTTCAAAGCTTTTAACCGTATTTTCTGAAAGGGCTTTTTTGGAGTTGATTTGTGATTCTTAGTTATGTTAAGCCCTCATTATTATATTAGTGCCTCTGTTTCAGAATTTAGGAGCACGTTTGCCAAAGGGTGCTCTGTTGACTGGTCCACCAGGATGCGGGAAGACATTTCTGGCGAAAGCTCTTGCGGCAGAGTCCTCGGTACCATTTATCTCGATGAATGGCACAGAATTTGTCGAAATGATTGGAGGTATAAGTGGTGGTTTTATTTCGACCAGCTTCCTAGCACGTTTTTGGTTGGATTTTGACGAGCATAACCATTTAAGTTGCACTGCAGACTGGTAGCTTTATTCAGGTTTGGGAGCATCTCGAGTGAGAAATCTGTTTAAAACGGCGAAGAAAATAGCGCCCTGTATCATTTATATTGACGAAATCGACGCTATCGGACGCAGAAGAAGCCCGAGGTATATTTGGCGCACTGTTTCCGCCGTCCTGACTGAATGAATGATAGTTTTATTCGCTGTTTTCCAGTGATTTTGCTAGTGGTGGAAGCCGAGAAGAAGAGCAGACTTTAAATCAGTTGCTGGTTGA